CTGGCAACAGGGGGGCAGCCAGAGCGAATGAGGCGCTTCGCTGAAGGCTCGGGGGTCACCAGTTGCACCAGAAAGCAGAGGGAGAGAGGGAGACAGGGGGGGGCAGGACGTAACCAACAAAGCCAGCCGTACAGTCAGGCGCATGGGGGTTCATGTGCTGTCCACGCCGAGCTCAGAAGCCTACTCGAGGGTGCCCGCAGCACGGTGCTCAAGCCAGTCCCGTACGCAGCAAAGCAAGAAGAGGAGAGCACAGATGCAGAAACTGCTGACAGCGATCCTACTTGTAACCTCCTGGCAGGGGATTGCCTCAGTCAGTAAGCCCAGGAGCACGACACCACCACGCACAGCAGCGGGGGGACACCCTCGCACGGGGGCAGGCCCGCTCCCACCAACACCGACGGTTACAGCAGACGAAGCAACAGCGCCGCAAGCGCCCGCACAGCCTGGGACAGGACTAGGCCACAACCAGGGGGCGACACCGGACCACACGCAACCACAGCCGGGGCAAGGCAGTGCCCATACGCACCCACACCCGCTTCCGCAGCAGCACCATCCACAGACGGAAGCCACACCCGATGGGGGAGGTATGACGTGGAGGCAGTACGCGGACGCAGGAGACAGTCAACGGCCGCCAGAGGAGCCGCCGCAGCCACAGCCGGTGCAGACACAGCAGCAGCAACAGGAGCCCTTCCAGTGCGACAGGGGAGGAACAGCCCAGCCAGCACACTGCAGCCCGTCGCAGGCACAGACGCAGCAAGGGGGACAAGCACAATATACAGCACCAGCCCAGGCATGGGCTACACTCCAGCAGCAAACCCTCCAGCAGCCGCAGCCAGGACAGCCAAGGCAGCCCAAGGACACATTCGGCTACTACGCACCGGTGTACGATCCGGACACGGACCCGTGGCACCCGCAAGACCAGACACCAGACACAGCAACAGCCGGGGGGATGGAGGCGTCCGCATCTACGTCGGGGGGAGAAAGCGAGCACCAGCACACATACGTGGTGCCCCCGGGGACCAACCACTGGGGATACACCCTCACCTACTACCCGCCGGCACGGGGGACACCCCTGCCGCAACCACGACCAGAGCCCATGGTCCCAAGCCAACACACCGCAGGGGGCATATTCCGGAGACCAGAGCAGCGCCAGCCCGCACCCGCCACAGCAGAGACAGAAGAGGAGACGACGCCAGAGCCAGGAGAAGAGCCACAACCCACAGGGCACCCATGGAGCACAACACAGCAGGGGACCGTGCCACAAGAAGGCAGCACCTACATGGCAGGGGGGGGAGCGGCGCACGCAGCAGGTGAAGAGGAGCCCAGGCCAGCCAACCGCAACAGGTGGGGGCGCACACTACAGCGAGGCGAGCCGCGCCCACAGCCGCCACAACAACACCACAGCCCCCAGCGTGGGGTGACCAGACAAGGCACAGGGACGGCAGTGCCCACACTCCGCCTCCATGCCGGGGGCGCGGAGGCAACAGCAGCAGACACCGACCACCAAGCCCACGCAGACCCACAGCAGCAGCAAGCAGAGCCACAGGCCGCAGCAGAAGAGGAAGCAGCAGCACTGGAAGAAGAAGAAGGACAGGGGGAGGGAGGCCCACGAAAACCGTACCACGACCAGAGGATGCGGGGGAAAAGGTACAAAGCAGCTGTGCAGATGGCGTACAAGCAACGGGGGTGGCAGAAGCGAGACGACGAGCAATGGAGAGACTTGGGGCCAGCCCTGGGCTTCTACGAAGACGACGACGAGGAAGAGTGGGCGAGGCTGCTAAGAAGGGGACCTAGACGAGCCCAAAGACCGGAAGGGGGCCGCAGCCCACAACGCCAGCCGAAGCCCCCAGCCAACACGCAGGAAGCATGGGCGGACCTACTCAACGGACACCTTTTCCCGCGAACATACCCGCCACCACAACCACCAGCACACACGAGCACAGCGGCAGCGGGGGCGCATGAAGCTCCAGGGCAGACGGCGGCCAGACCAAGCAGGCCGCAGAGAGCAGGAGGGGGTCCACCGTCCGAACCAAGGAGACGACGAGCGGCAGCACAGAGCACAAC